ATGCATCAAGAGGAGAGTTGTACTTGCCACTTAACTTGCTTCCCTCCCTTCCAGTGCTTGAAAAGGGAGTGTGTGTGTGTGTGTGTGTGTGTGTGAGAGAGAGAGAGAGAGAGAGAGAGAGAGGGAGGGAGGGAGGAACAGAGAGACAAAGAGAGAGACCGAGAGAGAGGGAGAGAGAGGGAATGCACACACGTAGGGGATGGTTCTGCCAGAAGCCCGAAAAATGCCCCAAATCAGGGGACTGGAAGATCCCAAGTTCTTGCTCCAGAGAAATGTCTACATTGTGTTGCCAGTGTTGACGGCCTTGTCCTCCATCCAGTTTTTGCTAGAAAAACGAGAAAGGGGCATCCCAGACCACGACATTGTGAGCAGAAGTCATCTTTCGTTTTGACAGGGTAAAGAAGGAGCTGCAGCCTTTCCAAAGAAAGATGAGGGCATCAAACAAGGCTGGGACTTCCCGGAGAAGCTCTGGAAAAGAAAAGGTCTGATGAAGGAATAGCCCCAAACAATTAGCGGTATTCAGATGCTGCTCTGCTTTGCTCTCAATATCCCTGATTAGCGTGGCTTAGCAAAGATCGGCCGCTATGAAGGCTACCGGATGAAACTTCATCTCCGTAAATCCAGAGTGTTTATCTTGTTTATCTGAAATAACCTTTGTGGTGGTGCTGCTGCTTCTGCTGCTGCTCGTTTGAGTTACCGCCACAGCTGAGCAGAGCCACCACATTTATGGCCAGCCTGGAGAAGTTCCTCCTTTGGTGTTTCCAAATCCAATCTATCCAACTCCCCTGGAGAGGATGTGCAGAGGCCAAGTGGCTCTGTGGTAAGAAGGCATCCACATAAGCCGGCGAGGGAAGAGGGGGAATGAAAAACGAAGAAGGACCACCGCAGGCAGGGACACACAGCAAGCGAGCAGTGAGGGATGCCTCAGGACTCCAGAGGACAGGGTGTTGCTTGGATGGCTTCGAAAGCCATCCCTGCACAAACCTGCAGCGGAGAAGCCAAGGGACAGAGGGGGGAGTGGGGAACAAGAGAGCAAGCAGCTGGGGAAGGGAAATACGGGAAATGCGTGTTCCCTTCCTGGCACCTTGCTGTCCCCCCCTCCATCCTGGCCAGATACTGACGAGAGACTTCCTGGCAACCGAAGGGAAGACAGCTGCAATTCCCAAGAACTGGAGGGCAGCAGGAAGAGAGCCCCCCCACAGCAGCCCCCTCCAAGGCCACTTCATTC